TAGGACATAATATCTCGACGTCCAGAGATCCGATTTGAGCAAAAATACTACCATTCGATTTGTCTAATCTAGAAAAAATCAAATGGTAGTGTTTTTGCTCAAATCGGATCTCTGGACGTCGAGATATTATGTCCTAAAGTGATCGATTATTGTATTTAGGGCATGAAAGTTTATGAACAATACCCGATATAGAATCTTTACCAATCGATACGTAAAAGGTATCATGATCAGCATTTGTAGTGTTCTTTGTGCTCGGAAAATTTCAGAACATTACACATTAACGAAGAATCGCTAGAAATGTTGATATCAAACCAGAAGAAATGCGAAGGTGAATTAACTATTTAATAACATGATGTATCTTGTCTTAGAAAAGAAATTTATCGTTTAATAAAATATTTGGTCACTATCGTTATAACAAGTGTGACTGTTTATGTAAATATTCAACGTTATGTAATAGTTCGAGTAGCTAAATTTAAATTCTTGTTTTTTTTTTTGACAATAAAAACAGATTGATACATGAGATCAGCTAATTATCACGTTTTATGTGATTAGCTAGTTGTTACAACTAGCTACATCACATCATAAATACATGTACATGTAATTAAAATAATTACACGATAAATGGCACGCCCCTTATCGTATTGTGTCTTTTTATTTTCATATTACGTGTTTTCTTATTTTCAAATACTGTATCTATTTTTTTATGAACGAGAAATAGTTAGACATTTAGATATGTAAATCAGAATCTTTCTCTTCTTTAAAAAAATTTAAACAAAATATCACTGAAAAAGATTGCTTAACGTTAAGGATTAAAAGCAGCAAGTTGATGGTGTGTAATATTTCAATATTTGTAAATTCATCGTCCATTCTCATCTTCGGATTTTACATTTTATGCATATTATCGTTGGTTTGTATGTTATTATTGTTATCTCCAGCTGTTTTAAATCTAAACAAAATCTGCATTCAATATCACCAAATTCATAATTATTTCATGTCACTGAATTTTATTAATTTCACAATATTGAAGAGTCGGCCAGTAATCTAATTAGCAAACTTGCAATGATTTAAAACAGGTTACGTATAACCAAATAGTAGACTTTTACTGTTCTTCTCGTCTGTTTCTTGTGGTAATTATTGGCATTTTTCGGTTTATTTTATTATCATTTAAATTTATCGATAATGATACTAATTTTTATCAAGGAATAGCTCCATCATTTTGGTCGAGTTAGGCTAAAACTATTTGTTGTTATTATTGTAGAAGTTTTTACAAATAAAGAAAACCATGTAGGGCTTTTTACATGTACATATTAGCGTTAGCGTCAGTGCACCAAACACCAATTTCTGCATGTGAGTGGGAATAAATGTACATGCATGTATGTGGTTCGCTATCAATATGGTTTACAGTATACGTACGTACTCATGATACATGATACATGTATAAGAAATTTTTAGAAGCATTAACGTTAATAAACTTTCACTCAATATAGTGAAGATTTTTTTCTTTAACCACTATTACTAAATAATTAGTTATATAAAAAATTGTTAACTTACAAATTCAGTAACAGTATTCAGCCATTATGATCTTTTTTAAGCACATATTCTTCAAAAAAAAAAAAAAAACGAGAGCTCTTTCATTAATTGTTTATTTTCTTCGAATTCCTATATCTTCTATTGAAATAAAGCAAATTTTTTTTCAGTTAAATTTATATTTTAGATCTCAGATCTCGGGGTCTTTTGACGACACCTATTTTGAGTTAGATAATATATATATAGGAAAATTCATATAACGATAACGATAAAATCTAATCTGTTCTTAATTAAGTTGTGTTACAACATTACAGTTACGATTATACAGATATACCGATACATGTAAAATTAAGCAGACATGTATCGGTATTATCGTTACGTATATAGCTTAAAATTTTTTCCTATCCCAAGATCCATACTTTAGATTTCATTGTTATCGTGATTGTTAACCTAAACTATTTGGAAGGCATAATAGAAAAGAGGCAAAGTGCAGATTCTTTCTAAATATTAAATTACATCTAGTTTTTAAATAAAAATTTAATCTCTTTGTAGTTATACATGTCATATCTGGAAAGCATTATTGGACTGTAGAAAAGTGCAAAAGCATATACATGTATACAATACTTTGAAAAGATTAAAGAAATATTTGTTTACGCATTAAATGTGCTTTTTCTATTGATGACTAAGGTAATACATTAATTGCGCAGAATTCTACCGTATATTTAACGCTAACTACTATCGCTCATTCATGAATTTTTATTCCAGTTGCGTATGACTATTTCAAAAAAGCAAATAATAGAAATATTCATACTAATGTAACTTGTGCTCTAAATAAATAAAACTTCATCAATAAAAGCTGTAGGACCTCTTTTCTAAGAATAGATCATATATGAATGTTTGAATCAAGATCTGGCTTGTAATATCGAGGTGTGATATTCTATGTAGATCAAATCTATTCGACAATAATAAATTTTGTTAGTACAGATTTTAAAAACTTATAACTTTTCAAAAAAGAAATATCATTCTCAAATAGTACCAAAATATAATATAAGAGATAAAAAAGATTTCATATGAATTTTGCAAGAAAAATTTACATATAATAAATTTGATCTACACAGAATATCTCACGCCCAATGTAATACTTATGTTTGTCAATGGACTTTCTAAAATAAGAAAAACTTGTTAACAAATATTAATACATGTATCTTCTATTATTGAGTTGAACTATAGTACGTATATCATTCTAGATCTGATCGATTTCGCAAAAATATAATTACGAGAAATTGGATGTTCTCATTAATCAAATTCTGAGCACTCAAATTCCATTCCTGGGCTATCGTACTACAAAATTATCATTTCCAGAGAAGCATCAATCATACAAAACACATATCGATATATAATAAAAATAAAATTACCTTTTCTATAACTCTCGTTGTCGAAAGCATATCAATATTGATATTTATAAATAATGAGAACTTCCGCCAAAAAATCTGAAATCTATATTTAATTCTCAAATAAAAAATGGAAAAAAGAACAATCATTCTAATTCCACTCTTCATTACCATATCAGTAATACTGTTAAATTCCGCTTCTTTTTCGATTCCGATTCATGAGTATGCAAAAAATCATTATTTAAAAATAAAATTGCTTTTAACTAGAATTTCTCTATTTTATAGCCCTTGTGATAATCCGAGTCGAGAATGTAATGCTCCTCGTCCGTTTCCCGGTATTAAGACAGAGGAACCGAAACCGCAACCAGAACCAAATTCTGGTGAATATTGGATTGTAGATACAGATTGGTTGAATCCTTGGAGGGGTGATGTGGGTATCGGGCAGCCTAAAGGTACTCCGGTACTCATCTGATTTATGTCCATCACCTTATAGTGGATTTTTTTATAATACTGTGTCTTTATTTGGTAATTTTGTAAATTGTTCTCTTATAATTGAACTATTACTATATAGTATATCCATAAGTATTTGAAAATAAATCGTTATATTAAATAAATGTGAAAATACATCAAGAATTTACCTACATTATAAAAAATGTGATTGTATAAGCAATAAGATCCGATATAAAATCTTATAAATCCTATCATTTGTAATTCCAGCGATATTGTTAACAGTACAAATTTATTAAAGCCTATTGTTATTATTTTTCTAATAATTTAATAAAAGAACTGTTTAATTTATAAACTGATAATTTTACAGCATTTACATTAAATTGCAAATATTTAAGTAATTTGTTATAGATTCAGAACTGATTGAATTGAACTTCATATTACAATCTGACCTCATATAATCGCCTCACATATACGTAATGATATTTGACGATACGAAACCTTTCATCACGACCCTTTTGAAAATGTCTGTGACAAATGACGAAACCTATGACGAAACCTTCTGACCAATAAAATACTAACTTTTAACTCACGATGCCTGACGATGATGACGATTTTTGGAAATAAACGAATGCGCAAATGCATCAATAATACATGTACTTGTATTGATTTTCACGAAACCTTTCGTTATGGCCACTTTGGAAATGTAAGTGATGAATGACGAATCATCTGAAGAATGATAATTTTGGCAAACTAAACCAGCTTTAGCAATTTTTCGGTTTATTTTTTTGCATAATTTTTAGAGGTACAGTATATATATTTAAAATATACACTTTTCTCAAGTTTTCATAATGATGGCCAAATTCAGCATAATTTTGATCGTCCATGGCCAAACACATGTATATACTAGATTTCTAATGACATTCTTTTAAAATTCGGAATTGGATTTATGCATGTAATTTAAGCTATTATTTTGATTGGTCAGAAAGTTTCATCACAGGTTTCGTCAAGCGTCATTGGTTTCGTCAATCTTCATGGGTTTCGTCAGGTATCATTACTCCCATATAATCACATCATTCATTAACATTAATCACACCAATAGCTTGCAAATCAATCTACTATAAGCTTTCATTCAATTGCTGCTATGGTTGACTTGTATGTGATTTATTCTTACTAATTCTATTATTTTATTTATCCCTATTAGCATTATTTTTCTCATCTTTATTAATTTCGACTTCCCCCTACTAATTATTAGGTATCACGTCAGTCTCCATATTCTCGTTGTTGGACCCACTTAATTCAATATTTTCAGTCCTGTTAGAAAGATAATTATAATGTAATCATCATTCCACTTTATCCAATTCTATGGGCCAGAAATACACAGTTGTGTGAGTTTTTATGAATGGAATTTATTTATAATCATGTTTATATTATTAATTGATATAGCAAGTCGATGAAAATTGCTAGAATAAAAAAATATACTTTAAGAAAGTTGATAAGTATTAAGCAATGTATTGTTCGAGTTTTTACTATTGAGAGTGCAAACCAACGTAGTGTTTGTAGAATAGCACGTTCAATGTGTGGTTATACTCTTCAAAAACTTCCCGATGCAGCAATGGATTCGAATAAATTCATCTGTATTGTATCGTTAGTCAAAGGTCTATTGAAACAATCATTTAAATGTTATGTTATATAATAATTTCGATTGAATTCCTACTTTCCAAACTTGCATAAAATGCATAATGAATAATAAATTGCTTTTTTATAAGTTGTTCAATTGATTTCGCACTGCTTAATAGACAGATTTCGAAAATTTTCCATAAATTTTGGCATTTAGCGATAATTGGAACTGATAAATAATGATAGCAATTAGATAGTTGCACTAAAAAATTGAAACATTTTTTATTAACATAAGGATAACACAAAAGTGACCGTTGACTGTCCTCTTCCTAACAACGACTCTACCAGGACGACACCTTAATGTGATGGATAATTTTTTGATGGCGATGATGACCAATTAAATTGCAAGATCAACGTGTAACACAAAAATTCATAAAACAAAGGAGTCGTCCTGGCAGAGTTCATAATAACTACGTATACTGATATTAAATATTTTATGTTTAAAATGTGTCACATTAATTATCATTACGCACATTCAACTTCGGATTAATGGGAGTCACTATGTATTACATTCGATATACATATAAAAATTTCCGATTGACAAATTCTCACTATTACTAGAAAAGAACAGTAGGATTTAACAGGAAGCAATTGTAACAAAATTAGAATAACACATACATGTTGTAGGTTTAGAATTCAAATTCTAAAAATTTACATCAAATCAAGAGGTAAAATTCTAAGTTAATTAAGTCTTACTTTATACTGTAATTGACTCCTACATTGATAAGTTGGAGAGAGTGAATAGATTGAGTTATATTTGTTAGTTTCTAATTCCTGTGCTGATATTTATGGATATCGTTCAATGTAACAGTCGAGAGAATGATTCAGAAGAGAATTTGGATGGTTCGGGTTTAGGTAAGGTAGTTTTGGATATTTTACGTTACAGGTTCACTTATCAATACAATTTTTCCTATTAATTTTCAATCGTTGCTTTTTCTAGCTAAAAGCCTTAAACTATTCAAGAATAAAAGCGCTTTTCAATCAATCAATATTCCGTTGACAATATCAATGTCAAATCGATGCCTTTTCTGGATTAAAAGGTCCTGACCACAATAAATTACAACAATTTTCACAAGTCTAAATTACATGGAGAAAAATTGTACGCATTAATTCTGAATGTTCATTAAAGTCCGTGAGGACTATATATACATATTTTTGATTACATTGTGAAGTATTATTCTAGGATTTAACACATAATGCACACTATTGTTTAAGAGAGAACTTGAGAAAAACTTGAAATATTAAAAAAAATAAAAATTAAAATAAAAGATAAAATTTTGGAGCGAATAAAAATAGACTAACGGAATCGGGCCAGGCAAGCTTTACTAAAATTGTGAGATAACAAAATTACCTCCAACTTGTAATGTTGACAGTATCTAATTTAAAAACAGATTACGTGTCTTCTTATTTTCAAATACTATATCTATTTTTTTTATGAACGAGAAATAGTAGACATTTAGATATTTTAATCGATTCATTCTCTTTCTTAAAAATTTAAACAGATTATCAGTAATTAGAGGATTTTTTTAAAAAAAGGATTAAATGCAGCAAGAGAAACTGCGGATGGTGTGTAATAGCATAAATAATTTCAATCTTTATAAATTCATCGTTATTCTCATTTATGCCTCCAGCCAGACAAAGTGGGTATTCAATATCACCCAAATTTATAATTATTTAATATGTCACTGTATATTATTAATGGATGAAATGGAAACGTTTATAAAATATTAATAATAATGAATTTCTTGACTACAGTATTTTATAATTAGCAGTGTAATTTTATTAATTTAATAAATTTGAAAAGAGTTGATCAGTAATACAATTATTTAAACAGGTTACGTATAATCAAATTGTAGACTTTTTTATTGTTTTTCTCATGTTTTTTGTGGTAATTTTCATTGGAATTCTTCAATTTATTTTATTATCGTTATAAATGCAAAGTATGAAGATATTAACGTCATAATGGAAATCATATAGGACTATCCACATGACGGCGACCAGATTTAGACGTATTACATACGTAGTGATACATGTATTAGCGTTAGCAATGCACTCGAACGAGATGCATTGATATCAATCGCGAAAGGATTACCTGATATATATTATTATTGAACATAGGATAATATCAGACAAGCCAGTGAGGCACGAGGATGTGAAGAAAAATGGATGATAAATCATGAGGGATAATGCACATGAGAAGAATAGAAGTAAGATTAACTACTCGAGACAATTATAAAAGTGATTCATCTGTCCAAAGATTAGATAGCTTTAGCTAGTTTTAAGAATGCTTAGATAGCTTTTATTATTCTCAAATCAATCGTTTTAAACGCTTAAATAAAACCGGAGTTATAGTGATTATTGAATGATCCAAGAAGAGATCACAAAAGTATACACAAGAGTAAGGCTGTTAAAAGTCTGGTTCGGTTCGATCAGCTCCAGAAGCCGAGTCTTAATTGAAGTTCGGTCTAAAAGACAGGCTCAAGCACAGTCATGTGACACTTGATTATTATTATTCACGTGCACCTATAATAGTTATTGTATCACGAATTTATTTAGCTAAATACATGTGTTGTTTGCATCACGATAATACTTACGTATTTATCTAATTTATGCTAACTTTTCATTTATTCTAGAATATTGCTTCCAAACAATGCTTCAAGTATATTGAGGCTCTTGTTGTCTCCTCAAGAAGGCTGTTTCTTTCAAGATTAAGAATGTTCTTTGCCACAGAGTAGGCACATTCGCAAAGAACACTCGTGGTTTGCAATGCAAAGTAATTTGCAGCCATTAAAGCTACAGTTGGAAAGTGAAGGGCATTAGCTTTCCACCGGGTTCGTGGAGATATTAATCTTTGTTCAGTTCTTTAACCAAACTTATTTCAGAAAATTTATAGACAAGCCAAATCTTGATTCGAACATTCATATGATCTATTCTAAGAAAAAAGTCCTACAGCTTTTATTGATGAAGTTTTATTTATTATCTTTATTAATACGTATTACTATAATTTGCTTTTTTGAATATAAAAATTTATGAAGTTTTAATTACATGTATACTGCACAATTGCCTTAGTAAACAAATACTTATATTTTTTTTGCACTTTTTCTAGTCCAATAACGCTTTCCAGATACGTACATATTTGTATGTGCATGTATAACCATAAAAGATCAAGTTAAGTTGTTATTTAAATAGGTTAGGTTAACAGTAACGATAACAGTGAATCTAATTATAGATCCTGTGATTGTTATTCTCATTAACGTTATTATTGATGGGATATTCATAACACAGGAAAAAAAAGGTACGTAATATTCATTCATAACGACATTTCTAAACTTGGCTTTCAATGTGAGTTACACGAAATTAACTATGGAAGGATGACGTTATCGTTATGGAATTAGAGGATTTAATGTTACTTCGGTAACAATGTATAGGAAAATTTCTCAAGGAACATTTTTTGTTAGAGCACAAATGACTGTTTCATAAGTAAAATTTAAGATACCAAGCTATTTTTCTTTTTGTTAGAACACAAATGACTGTTCCATAAGTAAGATTTCAAGATACAAGCTATTTTTCAAAAGTAGGCAATTTTTTGCATTACACATTGATGTTACGATTTGATTGGTGCATGATTTTAAGGATGGTTGGTATTGGGTCGGCGTCTGGATCGGTAATCACATGTTCATGAGTTTACCTTTCTAAAATTATTCATTTATAGTTGTCATTGTCGATATTTGCTAGCGATAGTGAGTCTGCGTGTACCTATGCTTGATCATTTTTTAACAAACAATCAACAAACAAAAAAATCAATATTAATAAATAACTCGAATAAAATTATCAATCATGGCATCCAAGAAACTCGTCGCCGTTTTAATCCTGACAATCTTTCTCTTTGTTTCATCTGAAGCATTACCTAAACCAATCCTTGATTCTGGTCCGATGCCTCCATTCACTTTTGGTTCTGGTTGTATCGTACAATGTAATAATTGTCGCAAATGTTGTAGTGTATGTTTATGTAGTGCTGATTCACTAAATTGTTATGAAATTATTTGTTCCTGATCCGAGGCCTCAAGTCAGTTTTGGTCCTGATAGTACTGTTGGTGGTAGTTGTATCATACAATGTACTTGTAGTGGTGCTTTAGAGTTACTCGTTAAATATATATACAATTATATTATAATAAATAATCAAAATTTTAAAATTATCTAACGCTAAATATATAATAAAATGATTTTACCAGTTAACGGTCATATTTGAAATTGTCTTACGGAAATTGACAATAAAAAATGAGTTTTGCGATATTTGAAGAAATTCGCGTGTTTATTTCAGAAAAGGTAAAATTTTCGCCATAAATTTTAAAATTTAATATATAGTTTATATATATACTTAATATTAGTAACGAACTCTTTTAATGCTACCAGAACATTACGTAGGTTACTATTACGATACTTTCCAATTATTATTAGAGTTTATGACTCGATCGTGCACATTGAATCGAATTGCCGACTGTCGTACACACGGTATCACTCAGGCATTACTTAGCCACGATAGACCCGTGTGTTGAAGGTTGCGCTTAAACCGGATTTTATGTCATTTGTCCATCGGCACATGACGAGGAATTGCGACAGTCTTTTTTACCACCTTTCTTGCCACTTCCTTTCGATGGCTTGGTAGTTGGTTTTGGAGAAGAAATAGTGGTCGTTTTGTAAGAATTTCTTGTCACTACTATTTTTTAGATTGTCAGAAACATCAGATGTCAACGGACCGGATCCTTTCAGTTTATCATTGTTACTAGAATCACCAGTAGGAGTCAAAATTTTTGTGGATTGAGGTGGCAAATTAGCACGAGTAATATCGGTAAAAGATTTAACCGGCCTATCTTTTCTTTACTACCAATACCATTAAAAAGCTTGAAAATCTTTGCCTTTTCCTTCTTTTTTCAAAGATTAGTTTTCGAAATACTAATCATTAATTAACATTCATATTTTAAGACAGGGTTATTTATATTATTATTATTCTTTCGAATTTTACACTTTGTTATCAAAAAACACCATAGCATAAATTTGAGATTTACAAAGAAAAAAGAAAAGGAACCATTTAATTATAGAACTTTATTTTCACATTTTTATAAAAAAAATATAGGGTAAGGGATTAGGATATCGAGTTCAGGATAAGGGAAGTTTGAGATATATGAATTTCATAAGATTTAATATTTAAAAATGACATTTAAGTTTTACAAATCAACAATCATATCCAGGAAATCAAAATGGCAAGTTCCAGATTTTCTTTTTATTATTGTGCCATTTTGTTATACGAAAACTGTGACAGGATGAGTCACTGATCCCAGAGAATTTTTGACTTCTCCATTTACCACAATTCCTTTCTGTGAGTGGTAGATTCTCTTCATTGCTGTTATTTGGCACTTTATAAGTCAAATTCGGGATAAGGCAAAATCGAAGGCTATTTGTTTCGTCTTGATAGTACAAAAATTAAGACAAGTTACATTAATATTTTAACAGCAGCAGTCAAATACAATAAAGTAAAAGGAAAGCAGCAAGCACTTACATTTTTTTCACTAATCAGAGTTTGTTGATAACTCCATGGTTAAGAAATTTGTTCAAGAGAAGTCGAATCTGAAGAATTTTTAAATCCTTTTCAAAAAAGATTCGGATTGTTTGAAACAAATAGATTTATAAAGCGATAGCAATAGTGATACCCATCAAGTTATTACAGTAAACATAATATAGAGATTGCTAAGAAAGTCCAAATCATGACATTACCATAAATGGGTGTCACTGTTGGCTTTCGTTATAGAGGTTGTTGAAAAAAAATCTTTAATTCAAAATCTGACAGTAACCATAAATGGGTGTCACTATAGCGATAGAGATTTTTGAAGTTCTATAACGACAATGGCATGTCTCTTTTTAGCATCGATTTGCGCATACGTATATACATGTCAATCACTATCACTATACATGTACTATCTTTACCACTAGCGCTAGCGCTAGTTTCTAACAAGTATAATTTCAACTATTCCAAAAAAAAGGAAAAATCAACATGCAATGAAAAATAAAACCAAAGACCAGTCATGTCGTCGTCGTCGTCGTCGTCATTGCCGTCGTTATCATATCATCGTCGTAATTTGTGCTCGAGAATCGATTTTTGGGTTGAGAATCGATTCCTCAAAATTGAAATTGATTAATCGAATAAATTTAAAACGATTAATCAAGTAATCGAAATAACTATCCCCTACCGTGATTTTACATTTTATACATATTTATATCAATATCGTTATATCCAGCCGTTTTGAATCTAGACCAAATTTACTATTAACGTTAATGAAACGTTTATAAGAACATATTGATAACGATAATGAATTGTTTAACTATTTTTTAATTAGAAGTGTGACGTTTATTAAGTTTATTAATATTCAAAGCCAGTTAGTAATTTAGTTAACAAACTTGCAATTTATAATCAAATAGTAGACTTGTTATTCTTCCTCCCGTCTGTTTATTGTGGTAATTTTCATTGGCAATTTTATTATTGTTATAAATGCAAAGTACATGTATTATGATATTTAGGTCATTTAAATTTAGAACATCTTATTAATATCGATACTAATTTTCTATCAAGGAATAGTTCCGAATTTGATTGTTATTTATAGTGCTTTTATATCTACATATACCGATATCATGTACATGTAACAACAAATAATTATATGATCTTTTTTCAGGTACATATTCCTCAAGAAAGCAAGAACTATTTCATTAAAAGAAAGAAGTGATATCGATATTTTTTGTTCACAATTAAATTTAGCTTTTTGCATCTATGCACCGAGCCTCAAACAAAAAATCTTTTTGAACTCGGGGTCTTTGAATGATACCTATTATATAGAAAGTACCCGGTTAACCATAATATAGTAAAATTCATATAATGATAAACTCTAATCTAGTAGAAAAGAATAACGATAAGGTTTCTTGGTGTCAAAAAAATTAATTGTACATGTACATGTATCGGTATTGTTAAAAATTAACATTAAGTTGTGCCACAACATTACATGCATTGATTCCAAGTATGATTTACTAAACTTGTTGGAAATCTTAACGTTAATATAGAAATCTAATAGATTCAGCATAAAATTTTTTCCATCCCAAAATCTATAATTTAGATTTCATTGTTATCGTTATTGTTGACTATTTGGAAGCCATATTTGAAAATTAATAAAGTGCGAATTCTTCTTTTCTAAATATTAAAATTACATCAAGCTTTTAGTGATTATACATTGCCAATATCTGGAAAGCGTTATTGAGCTATAAATAAAGTGCAAAAAACGTATATATTTTTATTCTTTGAAAGATTAAAGAAATCTTTGTGTACGCGTTAAATGTGCTTTTTTCTACTGATGTACCTCTTTCCTAAGAATAGATTTTGTGCGTGTTTCGAATCAAGGTTTAACTTGTACATACCGATACATGTATCGATATGCATATCGATATCTACGTACATGTATAGATTTTCTAAAATAAGAAATGATTAAACGAACAATCAGTAGTTAATACGTATCTCTAAGAACCCACTATCGTGTTATATTATTGAATTGAACTATATCATTCTAGACCTGATAAGAAATTAATTGATCGAATTCTAAGCACTCAAATTCTATTCTGGGTTATTGTATTACAAAATTATTGATTTCATAGAGAAGTACGTACTTACGTATAACCCATTAATAATGAAAAACCTTTAAATAAAATTACCGTTCTTTAATAAAAATTTTCTATAAATCTCGTTGTCGAAAGCATATCAATATTGCTTTGAGATTTATATTTCAAATTATTGAATTTTCAACCAAAAAAAAATGGAAAAAAGAAAAAATATTTGTATTCCACTTCTTATTATCATCTCAGTAATATTATCAAATTCCTTTTCTTTTTCGATTCCGATTGCAACTATACAAAAAGTGTATGTATAAAATCATTATTTAAAAATAAAATTATTTTTTAACCAGAATTTCTCTATTTATAGCCCACGTTGTGATCCTTGGTATCCTATGTATCTTTCGTATTATGACTCTCCTCCTGACTGTTTACTTGGCTGGCAGGATCCAAATTCAGGTGAATATTCGGGGGCTTCAGTTGGATCTGGGTGAGAATTTGGGGTGGGGGACTTCAGTTGGAGTTAAGGGAGCCGAGGTGAAACCAGGTGTGTTGATTTGATGAGCGTTTGTTATTCGGAAGGGATGGTGAGATTACCTCTAGACTTTTTATAATATTTATTCAGTTTATTGTGGTAAAATTTAGTAATTTTTTTATATAATTAAACTAACTTCATACGTATAAAGTATTTGAAAAGTATTAGTAAATAAATTTGCTTAATTGTAGAGAAGTATCAGAAAGTTTGCTTACATTATTCCTACAAAATATTGAGTTCGTTTTCTCCGGAGTTTTATTTTTCCGACTTAAAAATTGGAAGAAAACCAGATTTTTAAAATCGGAAAATCTAGATTTTCCTGTTCCAATTTAAAATTGGATTTTTATCTGTACATGGATGTATTACGAAAAAAGGTATCATTGATCAATGACTCGAGAGCAGCATGATCTCTAAAATACATGTACATTTTTTTGTGAAAAAGGAAGTCAGTTAGCGTTAATGTGGATTGATGCTACCGTAGTGACATTACGTAAATCCTTTAGTTCCGTAATTTTTATTTTTAATTTTTACCGTTACATGAATATCCTTCTATATACATATATTATTTTTTGAATCGGATCACTGGCGATCGTCCACAATACCGCAAGTTTCCCAATCCGGTAAGCTCTTCAGCAGCTAATTCCCACCGCATTATCAACAAACACTGCTGTAGAATAATTAGCGTTAGCAGATTCACTCACGAATGTCAACAAATGCGATTTGTTATTTTTCAGCATGACGACATGCTAATAAAAACAAGAAGTTCCCTTTTTAATTTGCGACACGGAATTGCGCCACTCCTCGCAATCACTTTTTTTCGTCTCCTTATTTTTCAGCGTCTCATCATTGTTTTTCAGCATCTCATCATAATATTCTTTAGCATCTCCTCATCGTTTTCAGCATCTCCTCATCAATCTTCAGCGCGGTTCCATCAACTTCTGCTGTGGACAATAGAACATCCGTTATAAAACTTTTTTTTTATTATTTTGGTAAAACGATATGTCTTCTTGGATAGTACAAAAATAATAACATACAAAAATGTATAAAAGAATGGCCCACGGGCTACTAGTAAAGAATAGAAATAAAATTCTTCTCCAACAGCTTGAATCTTTGCGTACAACTATTCTTAAAAGCGAATTATTGCTTGTAAAATCTCTTCTCCCCATTTCCCCCCACAATAATCGTTATATTGATTGTCGGTTAGGTCCTTTGGACCAGAAAAGGCATTGTTACGCGTAAAATCGCATTGTTAGTGAAAAACCGTTTGTGTGATCACCATTATCGTTATTATATTTAAGAGTTTAAGGTTTTTGTCTAGAAAAAGCAACGATTGTTAATAATATTTTTAAGAATTTAAGGCTTTCATCTATAAAAAGCAACAATAAGGAAATCCCCCTAACACTCACCCGAAACACATAATCTTCTCTTCCCCCCAATCAACATAATCAACGATATCCGTAGATATCGGCACAGGCTCTAGATATCGAACAAACATCAATCAATTTAATAATCTCTTCCAAAGACTTGTTGCGTTAGAAATCCCTCAAATCACCTAAACCTAACGAAAGCGCAACAGTATAAATTATTCTCTTTTTACTCTTCTTCATTTCATGCACGTTGTGGATGTACGTCTTGTTCCCCATATCGATATCATTTTTCATGCATAAATCGTTTACATACACAAGTGAACGACGACTTCCACACCACATATAAAAATAAACATTGCCATAATCACTAATAAACTCAAAGATGGCAGCTAATACTCATGATTGTAGTAAATGCTGGTATTGTCTATCAAATATCTACTGCAAAGCGTGTTCAGTTCACAATACTCACGCTCATGATTGTAGTAAATGTACTCGTTGTTAATGTACACATCTCGACCACATTAATGTCGGTATTTTCAATGTCAGTGGCCACATCGTCGACCATATTAATGTCAGTATTTTCAATGCCAGTGTCCACATTGTCGATGGCATTGGTGTTCGTTCGTATTGTGGATCCCTGCTTCCCATCCTTGGTAAATTGAAGCTTTTCAGCCATGCGTTCACCAGCCAGCATGCTGAAAGCTTGAGCAATAAATGACTGCCATTCGTCATTAGTTGTTGTGCTAAGATGTGTTGACGTTATGCCCGAATGTAAAAGGATCTCCCAATTAATATAATGTGCGAGATATCGTAGATGTAATGCAGCACGGTGCATTTGATACACTCGCATTTTTTTTTTGCCTGCATCGAAGCACCTACAATCCCTTCAGTTATATACTTATGGATAGCGGCGCGTTGATTCTTGCGTCCCTTGACTGTTGATTGCGAGAGCGCAAGTGAGGCACATTCACAGTACACCTGACAATACCTGTACGATGACGTCAATCGTACAGCCTTGCCAACACTAACAACTATACCAGTTGTTTCTCCAAGGCAGCAATACCTTCTTCAGCAGTTTTATCGTTTACAATAGGGCTTATTGTTTAAACAAATTGCCCGCAGCCTCATGAAAATCTTTTAACAGATATTGTTTTCCGACATCCTCCCACTCAGAAAACTTGAGGAATTTTACATTTCCTCCATGTGACTGACGATTTGATTACGTTTATCTCCATCGATAAGTTCAGTCAATTTATTGATGATATTGCTG